AAAAGACCAGACTCAGTGATAAGGGAAGGGTTCCAAAGAAATACATTTGGTCCAGACACGGTACGGAATGGCTGCAGGAGCAGGAGACAGGACAATGACACAGGTGCCAAGATGAACAGACGGGGGCAAATCAACACCAAGGACGATCGGCACACGCCATTCGTGAAAGCCACGAACCCAAAAACGGGTCCCAAAGATCGCCGCAACCTCAAGTACAGAGAGACAGGAATAGACCCAACCGTACAACATGGTCATCCCGACGTCGAATGGAGCGAGGCACATCTATTAGTGAACAAACAAAATGTATCCCGCAACACAGGGTCGACATACAAAAGACGGCAACTCCCATCGGCACACGCTATCCCCGAAGGCCACGAACCCAAAAAACGGATCGCAAAGCCCCCCCCCCCCCCCCCCCCCCCCCCCAACCTCAAGTACAGAGAGACAGCAATAGACCCAACCGTACAACATGGCCATCCCGACGTCGAATGGCGCGAAGCACATCTAGTAATGAACAGACGGGTGCAAATCAACACCAAGGATGATCAGCACACGCCATTCGTGAAGGGCACCAAGCCAAAAACGGGTCCCAAAGATCGCCTCAACCTCAAGTACAGACAAACAGCAATAGAAGCGACAAACACACAGGAATGCACAAACAAAACGTCACTCGTAGCACACGTTTGACACACAAAGCACCGGAAGTCAGAATAACGGAACGGTTCCAAAGAAGTACATTTGGACCGCCGAGAGAGAATTTGGGCGGGTTCCAAAGAAGTATATTGTGATCGCTTTGCAGAGAAGTACATCTGGACGGCCAAAGAAGTACATTGTGATCGCTTTGCTGTCTTTGGACCGCCGGGAGAGAATTTGGGCGGGGGCAAATCAACACTAGGAGACAGGACAATGACACACGTGCAGGAGCAGGAGATAGGACAACGATACAGGTGTGAAGATGAACAGACGGTGGCAAATCAACACCAAGGATGATCGGCACACGCCATTCCTGAAGGCCACCAACCCAATAACGGGTCGGAAAGACCGCCGCAACCTCAAGTACAGACAGAGAGCAATAGACCGAACAGACGGTGGCAAATCGACACCAAGGACGATCGGCACACGCCATTCGTGAAGGCCACCAACCCAAAAACGGGTCGGAAAGACCGCCTCAACCTCAAGTACAGACAGAGCAATAAACCGAACCGTACAACATGGCCATCCCGACGTCGAATGGAGCGAGGCACATCTAGTAATGAACAGACGGGGGCAGATCACGACCAAGGACGATCAGCACACGCCATTCGTCAAGGGCACCAACCCAAAAACCGGTCCCAAAGACCGCCACAACCTCAAGTACAGACAGACAGCAATA